CGAACAGCGGCCGGGTGAACGGGCTGAGCCGCCCGCCCGGCGCCATCGCCATGAAGGATCACGACGCCATCAAGCTCTTCGTGGGGCAGATCCCGCGGAACCTGGAGGAGAGCGACCTCAAGCCTCTCTTCGAGGAGTTCGGCCGCATCTACGAGCTCACCGTCCTCAAGGATCGCTTCACCGGCATGCACAAAGGTACGGGGGGCCCGAGCAGGCGCGGCGGCCCGGGGTGGGATGCCCCGGGGGGATGCTCCTCAGGTGGGACGCCCTGAGGTGGGGCACCCGGGTGTGGAGCGCCCCTGAGGTGGGGAACCCCCGAGGTGGGACACCCTGAGGTAGGGGTACCCCTCAGGTGGGACTCCCTGAGATGGGGGCCCCCGTGATCTGGAAGTACCCCTGAGGTGGGTCACCCTGGTATGGGGCACCCCTCATCTGGGGGCACCCCTGAGGTAAAGGTACCCCTGAGGTGGGGGCACCCTGGTGTGAGGCATCCTGGTATGCAGCCCCCTTAAGATAGGGGTACCCCTGAAGGAGAGGCATCCATCTAAGGTGGAGTTACCTCTGGGATGGGGACACCTGCTTGAGATGGGGGCACCCATCCGGGGTTAGGGTGCTGACCTGGGGCTGGGAGCTGCCGCCTGGCTTGGGGGCACCCCTGGCGTCAGAGCACCCCACGGCTGGGAGCACCCCAATGGTGTTTAGAGCACCAGCCTGGGTTAGGGGCACCTGTCTGGCATTGGAGCACCCCCGTGTGAGTTGTGGGCACCCCTGGGATGGAGCCACCTGCCTGGGATACAGGCACCTACTGCGGATGGGGGCACCCACCCGCCCACAGACCAGGCACCCCGGCACAGGGTGCAGAGCACCCGGCACCCCGAGCAGTGGCGCGCCGAGGGGCTCACGCGTGCAGCGCCAGGGTCTTCACGGAACCCCCAGCCCCTGAGCCGGGGGTCTTTGGTGCCGGAGCAGGCTCAGAGCAGCCCGGGTGTCACTTGAACAGGATCTCACGCGCCCCCGTGCCATGGGCAGCGCCCGCATCGCCGGGACTTTGAGAAGCCAAAACTTGGCGCTTGTGGATGCCGCCGTGTCAGTGCCCTTTGGCCGTGGGGCAGCCACCCAGACTACATCGATCTTGGCACCGTGGCCACCAAAATGTCTCCAGGCACCTCCAAAGCTGCTTGCGTGCCCCCAACAATGGGATTTGCACCTTTACCAGGCCCCCTCGGCTCTTCCTCCAGCGTGAGCTTCAACTGCTGCGGCCCAGACGTGTGATTTAATTGTGTACGCTCCTCTAATTTGAGTGGCATCCTTCCTCTGGCCAGCCTCCGGAGCGGGATCGGTCCCACTCCAGCCCTCCGAACTTCTCCAGAACGCCTGGGCACTGTCGACATTGTTGCCTGCAGGGGAAAAGGGTAAAAAAAAATACAGAAAAAAAAGAGCCAAGAGGAGGAAGCCAACATGATTACGGATGGTAAACACTGGAAATGGCACCGGGACTGACGTGAGCTGCTGAGCTGACCTCGCCTTTCCACCCACAGTGGGATAATATTTAACTGGGGGGGATCTCTCCTTGCTCCCCGCGAGGTCAGATGTCCCCAACACCCTGAGGTGGGTGCAGGACCCCAGCTCTCGGTGTCCCCCGGCCCTGCTGCCACGCTCCCTCTCCTCCCAGGCATGCTGATTGTACTTATTAAGAGTTATTAATACTTAATCAGCTGGCGGATTTAATTGTGCCAATATTAAAAATGCATCAATGTCAATTTTATTCATTAAATATTTACTTTGTTGAAGGGAAACTGTTTTGCTGCTGTTTTAATATCACTTTCAGATGTTTTTGGATGTGACCCCAGCAAATTGGGGGGGACCCCTCAGGGAGGGAGTGGCGTGGCAGTGGCACGGGGACCTGGGATGCTCCTTCGGGAACAGGAGAGATGGAGGGGAGAGGACCAGACCCCGTCCCCGGGGCTCGCTCCTTGCTGCCGGCTCCGGGCGAGCAAGTGGCTTGGCAGCGTGAGTCAGCGTGGGAAAACCTCACCCCAGGCGGATTCCCGATTCCCGAAGCACCGCGGTGTCAGAGGAGCCGGAGTGCCTTGGCCGCACGAGTCTCATCCTGAGGAGGATGCTCAGGGCCGGGAGAAGCGTGGCAGCAAGCCGGGATGCTTGGCCTCGACGCCTGGAGATTTGCTTCCCAGAGGGCTTCAGCTGCAGCTTTCCCTGGAGCCAGGGGCTGGAGCGCTGCTGCCCGCACGCTGCCAGACTTGCTGCCTGCTCTTGCCTTGCTCCTCCATCCCACTGCTCTTTGGCACCGAGATATCCCACCCTGTTTTGGGGCTGAACTCTGGCCCCACTGGTGGCGGTGCCCACCTGAGTGCCAGGGTGCTGGTGTCAGAGTGCCGGGGTGCTGGGTGCCGGGGTGCTGAGACACCCCAGTGCCACGTTAGCCGTGCTGCCAGCTCTCTGCGTGCCCAGGGCTTTGCGGCGGTGCCGGGCCAGACACTGACCCCGTCTCCCCGTCTCCGCAGGCTGTGCCTTCCTCACCTACTGCGCCCGTGACTCGGCCCTGAAGGCGCAGAGCGCCCTGCACGAGCAGAAGACGCTGCCGGGGGTAAGT